AATACACATGAATAAAAACAAGTAAGTCTGGTAAATTCAGATTATGTTGCACTCTCCATATAATAATAATAATAATGAGGTGTTTAATTGGTGGTGACTGGAGGTGTTGACTTTCTCCATCAGCAGTGGGCTGTGTTTTATAAAGTGGCTGAAATGACACAGATGACACAAATGACATAGCCTGTTAATAAGGAAGCCTATCTAAACCAAAACCAAGTTCTACCCAGTTACATCTGTGCCAGGGTGTTCACAGTTCCTTTACCTGGTCCGTGCTTATAAGATATCCACTTTGAGATTTTATATTCATAGGTAGCTGCTTATTGGAAGCAGGTTATGGTGTAATAATTATAGCGGCTGGTGCTGAAAAAGATCTCAGTCATATCAGCAAAAGTTACTCACATAATCACTTCCTCTTAAGTGATTGTGCCTACAAAATAAAAGCGCGAGAACCAATTGAAAATGTTGTAGAAACACTTTGCCCAAAACACTGAACTAACTTCAGAACTAAATCAAATTGTGTCAAATTTGTCATTAGCATTGAGAAAAGGTACAGACAAAGGTTTGACTCAAGATGTTACCAGTGACATTCTTACAGACCCAGAAGCTTTGAAACAATTCTGCATTTTGATGAAGGCTGCAAATTCCTCAGACCTATCAGAGGAACGCCTCCATTTTGGCAATCAGCACAGAAAGATTTGTTTTCAATAATAAGGCAACTTGGTATTCCTACATGGTTCTGTTCATTTAGCTCTGCTGAAATGTTGAATGCTATGCTTAGGCAAGAACAGAAGGAGGTGAAATTGGAAGACCTTTATTGGGCTGAAAAATGTGCATTATTAAAGCGTAATCCAGTAAATGCGGCCAGAATGTTTGACTTCCAATGGCAATGCTTTTAAAAGATCTTCTACAAAGCCCAGCAGCACCAATTGGCAAGATCACAGATTACTTTTATAAAGTTGAATTTCAGATGGGTTGATGAAGCTCCAAAAGTAGACAAAGACTCTGATGCAAACGTTGCACAGTTTTGTGATAAATATGTCACGTGTGAAATGCGTACTGATCCAGAACTGCAAAAACAAAGTGAATAACAAGCTAAAACCTGTGATAAGAAAAATGCAAAGAAGAATAAATGAGCAATAAATTGCAGATTCAACTTTCCGAGACCAGTCTCAGAACGTCCATTTGTCACCAGACCATGTATTTCTACAGAATTTAAAGGACACCAAGATACTGACTCTTAAAAAAGTGAACAGAGAAATTTTGAAAAAGATTCAGACATGGACCTTGTTGGTATGAAAACTGCTTACAAAAGGACAAGCATTGTTTATTGGAGATGCATATTCATGTGTGGTGTACATTATTTCATATTCCCTGAACGTGAAATGGGACTGCTACTTGATCAGGCTCAAAAGGAGGTCATGAATGGAAATTTACAAGCTAAAGAGTCAATGAAAAAAACTGACACAGTCTTCTTGCAAAGCTGACAAGTTTCAGCACAAGAATGTTGTTACAAATTAACTGGCCTACCACTTAAACATTGTTCATGTGGAACCCAGTTCATACTAACTGGTGAGCATCCCGCCAGAATGAGTTTACCCTTAAGTCAACTTAAACAACAACATGGCAGCAATCAGACTGATGGTAAGCATTTATGGATGAAAAATGTGGTGGACTGATACAGAAACAGAGCTGATACACAACCGTTTATAACCATGTGCCTTGCAACATTTTCCTCACGGAGTACAGAGTACTTGCAACTTCACAAATCCCCAAAGGTGAAGTAAGGTGATTCAATAGAAAAATAACTTTGGTTTTATTATCAAAAGAACTAATGAAGAGAATCCTGCTGTGGTCCGCTATGTTACTCTGTTTCCGATGAAACACTGTGAAGCCTGCCATCGCAACATTCTTGAACTATTTCTGCCCCATTATTTGGAATGCCATCTGAAACCTGCTCCATTTGAAACATAGAAAGACTTTTATGAGCATGGTGCAGTGCACAATGAGAACAACACACTGGAAAATGTCAAATCTATAGTGGATAGAAATCGGTCTCAATTTGAGAAAGAAGCTAACAAATTAGATGAAGCTGAAAAGATGGTACAAGGCAATAATGAACTGGAAGATGCATGGGCACAGATATGTCCACAAACAGAACTAGAAAGACTAGAATGCCAAAGATTGAGAAAAGACACAAATGAAACAAATGATGAACAAATAAGTCAGTTTACACAATACAGAACACAAATGGCAAGAGCAGATGCTTTGGCGTTGTTACGATCTTGGAATAAGGAAGAGTCTGCAGTTTTCTATAAAATTCAACACTGGTGTTTGCAGAAAGTCAACGGTGAAAATCCTCAGCCCTTAAAAGTACTCATAACAGGTAGAGCAGGAACAGGTAAAAGCCGTTTGATAAAGGCCATTTATTATGTGTCAACTAGAATTCTTAAAAGACTTCATTCAGATCAACCAGATGCACCTACTGTAGTACTAACAGCCCCAACAGGTGTGGCTGCCTACAACATACACGCAAGTGCTATACATAATACATTCTCAATAGGAGCAGATCTGTCCAATCAAAGAAAAAAATTAACTCCTTACGTGCAAAAGTAGGAAACCTAGAAATTTAGCATACATACATGGCAGATTAAGACAAATCAAGCAACCAGGTCACAACACTGCATTTGCCAAAGTGTGTATTATTGCAGTTTGAGACTTTTATCAGTTGAAGGTTGAAACTGCCCCAGTTAAAGGTTCTGCTTTGTACAGTGACTTCAAGTACATCAACCTATGGGAGGATGAATTTCAAATAGCTGAGCTCACTCAAATGATCAGACAAAAGGATTCAGACTAACATGATCTTAGCTGTGAAACAGGAGAAGACAACGATGCAATACACATTTTTGCTACAAATAATGAGTGTAACTGTCTCAAAGTCATGTTTAATTGAAATGTCTATTTTGTATATTTGTATCTGCAAGTTCATGAATATTTCAGTTCATACAGCCATTTAAAAGTAGGAAAAACATGTGAAGATGTTAAAAGGGGTAACATTCACAAAAATGTCTTTAATTTAAATACTGTTAAAAATGTTGTGCTTTTATGTAAGGTTTATTTCAACGAACAGCAGAGAGTAATGGGAAATGGGTCACATGAACAGAGTTAAGATAAGGGCATAACCATGGCATTATGGGTAAGAGATAATGTGGAGGCAGAGCAGAGCATGCAGAGGAACAAAATAAAGCCTCAAAATAACCGTATTCTGCACTTGGTTCAAGAGGCGCACACGGTAATTGCCTTTCATTTGTTTACCTTTGTGTATGTTACTTGTTGGTGTACTTTACATGGACAATATTTATGTTTGGTTATATTGTATGATTTCATTGCATTTCGCTTGTCTTAATGTGTTTGGGCCTGTTTATCAATGGACGCTTGAAAGGCCTTAAAGTGAATGTGAGATGAATGTTTTAAGCTGTATGTCTTTTATTTTCCTGTAGTTTTCACGGTGTCTGCTGACGAAGGAGAGAGCTGCGATAAAATAAATCTTCAAAAGACATCTGTATGATGCGTGGCCATTATATCTTGGGACCAGTGTAGCTACAATGAAGTTTTATGTTTATAACTTGACACGCTTACATGCATGCTACTTGTCCAGAGTCTGTTACCATAAAAGCATGTGACTATGAGAGGAATTCTGAAACAGGTAGACTGGAGAAAAAGGATGGCCATCATCACAAAGTTTACAATACTTGTCTAGAGAAATATATCCATGCAGGAATTGGAGCTCGTATAATGTTGCTGAAAAACATTGATGTGTCTGATGGGCTTGTAAACGGCCCTTTTGGAACTATTGTTAACATGGTGGGTTACTGTGAACAGAATGAGGACAATGATGACGATTTTCCTACTTCCATTCATGTGGCATTTGATGACCCCAAGGTTGGCCAAATCAAAGATCAAAAACATTGATAAAGTTAAAGTTACCAATAATGAGGCTTACACAGACAATATCCAATACAGTTGGCATGCACTGTCCACAAAGTACGAGGCTTAACCATTGACAAAGCTGTTGTTTCTTTCAAGAAGATTTTTCCTCTGCACAAGCATATGCAGTGGCTTAACTATTACAGACTTTAAGGAATCTGCCATTTATTGTAATGCAAAAGTAGCAGAAGTCATTTGTCATTTACACATGCACGCACACATCTGTGCAACCCGCTCTGCCACCTGAGCCACAGGTGGCAGAGCGGGTTGCCTGTTAATTGGAAGGTCGGCGGTTCAATCTCCAGCTCCTCCAGGCTGTGTGTTGAGGGTTGGGTGGTGCGCCTGGTGGCTGTTCCACCAGTGTATGAATGTTAGTTTCTGTTTGAGCACTTAGGCTAGGTGCTTTGAGTGGTCAAAAACACTAGTAAGGTGCTATATGTTAAAAATAAATGATGTAGAAATATTTTGTCAATGTTATAAGGTAGCTGGTTACAGTAAACAATCTCTGAAAGTCATCTTCTCCACCCAATCTTTTTTCATTATTCAGGAAAATGTTAAAATGCCCAGAAATGTTAAAACATTTGGAAATGACTTTTGCGGATTAACCGTTACCAACTGAAGTAGCTAGAAGGATACACAGTTAAGGAGCAAGGTACACCACGTGCACTGCTGAGGGTTTAACTGTGCATAAACTTGCCAAAGAAACACAAGTTTGTCACGGTCAGCCATGTTTATCGTTTACAAATTTCCCACTTCCCAGCGGTCTGGAACGCGGTGTAAGTCAAACATCTGCAAGTTGACATGACAAAAGAGCAACAGAAGAAAGCAGAAGAACAACTGCTTGGAAGCTGCAGTAAAGCAGGGTCACGCCACTGATGTGTGCACAGCGTCCATACTCTTAACCATCCGAGCTCGCGCCTGCGGTGGTGAGATTAGGCGTCCTCACTCTGGCCATGCCCCATTACTGCTGTCGCCTAGGAAACGGGGCGTGGAAAAAGTGTCGGCGAAGCAGGTGACCGACGTGATTGGCTGAAGCATCGGGTGATGCAGCAGCATGCCATCGTTCCATCGGCTCTCAGTGAGCAGCGGGGAAGCTGTCTTTCACACCGGGAGGCCAGACTGTGCTTACCAGCCAAGCTCACTCACAAGTAGCTCTCGTAGCCTCTCAAGGTAAGTCACTCTGCCGTTCTTCTGTTGTGAGTTAGGGTCACGCTTAGTGGTGATTAATGCACGCCTCGGTGGGCCTGCTTCAGAAACAGACACACAGGAGAGGAAGACAAATAAGCCCGGACAAACGTGTGTTGATATTTAAATATTATGGGCATTTATTTATAAAGAAGTATTCCCCACAGAGTACTTTCAGTGGTCAGTTGTAGGTCTATATTACTTTATTAAAAAGCAACGGGGGACTTGAACTAAGTAGCCTAACTTACATTGAAGTCCAAATTTGAGGCTAACGTTACTTTACTTATTTTCTTTTTATGCCACTTCCTTCTTCTAATTAACATCTCAGAGTTGGGTATTGTACTTTTTAATCTGTCGGCTTTACTAGTTTACTTTACAAATTAAGCTTTTTACACGAAACATATGAAGAGTTTGCAAAATATGATGTTTTGTTTAAATTAAAATACCCAACAGTTTAAATACAAGAACAGCTGAAACCATTAGTGGGTTGACAGAAAATGAATTGACAAGTCATTTTTCATGCAAAAACATTTCATGGTTCCAGCTTCACAAATTCAATTAATTCACGAAGATATGCTGCTTTTCCTTTGAATTATTTGAATGAATTGAATGTAGTGTTATTTATGTTGCAATATGAAGGTGTCCCTTTGGGCTCTGGGTCACTGTGTTGGCCTCTCACTATTTTTCTGAATTTTAACAATCATTCGATTTTATGGAGAAGATAATCAACAGATGAATTCATGATGAAAATAATCATTAGTTGCGGTCCGATACAAAAATCCTGCTTTTACATGAATGGATGAGTAATAATAGTCTCATGGTATAATATAGTATAACAGTCACAGGGAACATTTTCTGGATTGAGTACTTTTACTTTTAACACTTAAAGTACATTTTCCTGATTATACTTTTACATAAATAACATTTTTAACACAGTACTTTGTAATAGAGTTCTTTTACAGTGTGGCATTAATGAACGAATGAATTTTATTATTTTATTTTATTAGTGCTTTTACCTAAGTAAAGCATCTGAATACTTTGTCCACCATGTACAAAGTAATAAAGTTAATAGTCATTAAATGTACAAATTAAGTATTCTACTTCATTCTTCTGACTTTAATTGCTGATTCAAATGATGCCATTTGTAAACAGTTTTCTAAAATAATTTCTCAAAGCGTTTAGATTTAGCTTCCTGTTATTCCTTCAATCATATTCATGTTGGAAATGGATTTGGTCAGTCCATGGTCTGAACACCTCAAAGACAGAGAAATCTAAGATTGTCTCTGTGGTTGTATTTCCTGTGATCATGACCTGTGCACATTGTCAAAGCTTTCGTTATCCACATTGTTCCTCCAATGACATCCCTGTTATGTAAAGGTGCTTCTCCCAGCTTACATTACTCTACTTGTGTTATTTGGTAGCTCTGTTTCACCATGCTGACCCGTCTGTTCCGTATGCATGGCCTCCTGGTGGCCTCCCACCCCTGGGAGGTGATCGTTGGCACCGTCACCCTAACCATCTGTATGATGTCCATGAACATGTTCACTGGCAATGACCAGATCTGTGGCTGGAACTTTGACTGCCCCAAAACAGAGGAGGTGAGTGACACAAGATGATCAGAATGTTGAAGAAATATTGGGAGCCAGGTTCAGATGTGAAGAAGTTTCGGAGACTGATGCCAACACTACGGAAGCCCTAAGTGGCCATCGATCCAAACATTGTTTTACTCCGTTTTCCATGATAAGGGGATCATTACCTCGTGATCTCGGTCACACTGTAAAGTAGTCGGAAATTATCCTAAAGAAATCAACGGCTGAGCCCTGTATTCAGCTGTGGTTTGTTATCTTGAGATCACAAGAAAATGATCCCCTTATCACAGGAAAATGGAGAAAAATAAATATTTGAGTGGATGGCCACTTTGGGCCTCCGTACAACACCAGATCTGAAGGATAACATCTTTTGGTCCCTTTCATGTTTCTGTCTTCCCCCTTGTGCCTGTAGCATTTCCTAGTAGGTCATCTTTAGCTGGCCTTAACCTAGATCAAGAAATCTATCTGATGACTCCAATGCTACGTCATATTGGAATCTATTACTATCCATGAGTTGTACTCATGTACTCATTCATGTCATGAACAGCAATGTAAATATATACAGAGATATGTTCTCTAAGGACTTGGCAGTTATATGGGGGAAGATAGTCGATATATTTGGTACTCTCCCTCTTCCACATAGTCATAGACTCCCCAGAGTAATTAACTAAATTAAATTATATATATATATATATATATATATATATATATATATATATATATATATATATATATATATAGCGTAAAATATATTATATAATACTTTAACTATTAATTAAAAAGCCCAACCCTAATTTCTATTCTTTTGTCTAACCTTGAATGAGGTCATATTTTCTTCTTTTTTTGCAGCAAATTTTGAGCAGTGACATCATCATCCTGACTATCACACGTTGCATTGCTATCGTCTATATTTACTTCCAGTTCCAGAACTTGAGACAACTGGGATCCAAATATATTTTAGGTAAAAGGCACGTACAGTGTGACTACGATGCTATGGGTCTATTGTCTGTAGAGGAAGTAGATCTGAACCAGCTAGCTAGATATAGCTAAAATGCACCTCATCGTCTCTCTTGCAGGCATTGCTGGTCTTTTCACCATATTCTCCAGCTTTGTATTCAGCACAGTGGTCATTCACTTCCTTGATAAAGAGCTCACAGGCCTCAAGTAAGGACACACTCTGAATACTATCCTTTCTGATCAGCACCTCTGTTAAAAACTCCAGTTGATTGTTCTGTTCTGATCTGCAGTGAGGCTTTGCCCTTCTTCCTGCTTCTCATCGACCTCTCTAAAGCGTGCGCTCTTGCCAAGTTCGCCTTAAGCTCCAGTTCTCAGGTAGGAAGAAAGATTCCACATGAAATTCAGCAGTGGCCTGATGGGTTTATTGTGTGCAGTGTTGGGCAGTAACGCGTTACTCAGTAACTGTAATGTTATCACTTTTGCCAGTAACTAGTAGTGTAAGGGATTACTATTTCCAAAACCAGCTGTTAAGAGAGGTGTTCTTTCCACAGCTGGAAGGATTGCCATTGTGTGTCAGTCTAAGATGCGTCCATTGTAACCTTTGTGCGACCAGCAAAAAGATTTCAACTGTGAATAATTTAGTTTAATTTATTGAAGCATCTGCTGAAGCAGCACAGCAATGTGAAATTTCTAGAAAGAAACTCCAGCTGCTACTGCCAGTGATGCATGGACTTGTAGAGAGAGAGAGAGCGGCGGTAAAAACACTGAATATTCTGCTTTGTTTAGGGGTTTAGTGAAAGTAAGATAGTAACATGACGTAACTAGTTACTTTTTAAAGGAGTAATAAGTAACTAGTAATTTATTACAATTTCTGAGTAACTTGCCCGACACTGATTGTGTGTGAAGATTCTCAGTCATCCGGGACCTAGGTATCCAAGGGTAAATCAAGGGCAGCTGAACGTGGTTGAAGATACTGTCGCCTTCTTCAGCTGAAGAAGCCCCTTGAATGACTCTTCAATCAAGTCCAGTTGCCTTTGATTTAACCCTCTTTGGATGAGTGGTATATTTTGTTCAACTTTTTCAGGAAGAAGTGAGGGACAACATTGCTCGGGGCATGGCAGTACTGGGACCTACCTTCACTCTGGACGCCCTGGTGGAGTGCTTAGTAATCGGAGTGGGAACCATGTCAGGTACTTGCTGACACATGGAATATAATTTTTTTATTTTTTCTAGTGCATCAAGCCACTGCACTTAGAATATTGAGCGGAGATCACGTTGGAGACAGGTTAGATCAACCATCACAGTTTACAGACACGTAGCAGTGTTCTGTCATTACATCATGACATCATTATTGGGTTACAGAGGTGACACAGGCCTTCAACCGGAGAGAACAATGAAACACTGTTTCAGCGTGCTGTTAAATTACTCTTTCTAAACTCTAGCTCTGATTAGAATTGCTTCATTGTGTCATAAACTACAGCTACTGTTACATTTAAGCAAAAAAAGTGATCATGGAGTTGGAGGAGAGAGAACAGAGCTTTGAACAAAGTGCTTGTTGGATTATCAAACAGCGTCTTAAAAAGTAGTTTGACTCCTTTGCAGATCACAGCCTGTTTCGCTGTTAGCTGACCAAGGGGAAATGAATGCCACCAAGAGTAGCACCTGTGTTTCTGATTTGGTCGTTTTGGTGATATCATGGCCCCTTCTTATTGGATCAGCGGTTTGTTCTTGTGAATGCCTGAGTATGTGTCTCGTATGTTTCAGGTGTGCGACAGTTGGAAATCATGTGCTGCTTTGGCTGCATGTCTGTCTTGGCCAACTACTTTGTGTTCATGACTTTCTTCCCTGCGTGTGTCTCATTGGTGCTGGAGGTAAGGCTGCAGTGTTTTGTTGGATGTGTGCATATGTGTGTGTGTTATTGTCACTTGGACTGATCGTATTGTGTTTGCTCCTGTAGTTGTCGCGTGAGCGTCAGGAGGGCCATCCTATCTGGCAGCTGAGCCACTTCTCCAGAGTGATGGAGGAGGAGGAGGACAACAAACCCAACCCTGTGACGCAGAGAGTCAAAATGATCATGGTAACGCCTCTCTTTCTTCTGTATTTGCTTTTTTCTTTTCATTTGAACATGAGTGTGATTTCACCTCTCTGCTCTGTGCAGTCTCTGGGCCTGGTGATGGTTCACGCCCACAGCCGCTGGATCGCAGAGCCCTCGTCTTTCAACACCACAGTGGGCATCCCACAGGTCGGCATGGAGGTGGACCACCTCTCACCCAGGAGGATTGAGCCAGAGAAACCGCTGTGGTACTTCTACCTCACTAGGTGAGGCTAGTGATGTGCTTCCTTTTAACTACATGTTCATGTGATGGCCACCCTGCACTTCTGCATTAGTTGTGCATGTCCTCAATAGTGAAGGCTGTGCATCCACAAGATGCAATTAAGCTCAAGAACTGTGGCGACTGCAGGTTAGGATGTGAAGTAAGAAGACTTGTTAAGGGTAATCATCGAATGACAACAACAAAGTTATTTTATACTACAAGCATTTCTGAAGTTTCTAGCTCTTCAAAAAATGACATGGCTTCCAATGACTTTTTTTTATCCCCATTATCTTGACAGTTCAAATGAGTTACCTCGTCATCTTAAGATGAAGTCTGTCAAATTGATCACCAATACCAAGTGTTGTTACTGTATTAAAACTACACTTATGTCAACAACCAGTGAGAGAAGCCAAGATGTTAACAAATAAAAAGCGACAGACATATTCTGTTCTTCCATTTCTCCTCTGAACAAAAAGCTGCATGGGGGGATTCACTTAGGCCAGACTGAGTTCTTCTGTAGGCTGTGACTTAAATGCTAACCAGCTGCTCATGTAAATGTGTGATGAAGTAATACCATGTCTAATTCCTCTCTCCCTTAGAAAAGTTGCAGGTCCAAATTTAATTACACTAGTTACTGCACTGTGGATTGTTCGATCAGAGTGTGATTTTGCACTGTAGTTTTGCTTGCATACAAACAAGCTGTTGATAAGGATCCTAATTAAAGTGGCTACTGTCTGAAGTTAATAACCTGACGGTGGAAGGAATAACAGATTTGGAGTAATAATTACTATATGTATGGATACATGTACTGTATGTATGATTGCTTTTATTTTATATATGCTCATGTAGAGCCTAGCCATTTAGGCACTAGGCATCATCTACGTATTTATTAATTTATTGACTGGGTCAGAATATAGCTAATATAATAAATATAGTGAAATAAACAGAAACAGAAAAACAAAACAGCCTACATTTTCTTAGACCTACTGTATAGACCACCACTGACCTGCAGACCACCACTGACCTGCAGACCACCACTGACCTGCAGACCAAGTGGTCACTAGTGCTACGGACCTCAGAATCAGCTGCCGAGCCAATCTGCTGCTTCTCTCTCTCCTAAAATATCTTCAAATATCCATCTGATCAATGAATGGAAGGATATAACAATACAATAACATTAACAGGGACAGTATGACATTTAGTTTTCACGGAAAACAACATTCTATGCGGACTGATTATGTTTTAAAATAAGCTACTAGTGATATTAATGGGATTCACATTACCAACACTAGTGTTTCCATAGCAGACTAAAATATCCCCTTTCCTTTACCTCAAGTCAACTTTAAGTTCAGCAACTAACGGTCACTAACAACACAACGTACAGTTTCACTCTGTACTACACTATAAGTTGTATAGGACCGATTCTGTCCCAAGCTTTTTCGTCCATATAAGTGCCGTCCGCTGTATTGAACTTGTTATTTTCTGATCAGGACTTAGCTAGAAATAAATGTTTATCTGTCTGTGATGCTGAGATAATTTTAGGTACCACTGTCTAATCAGGCCCCCTTTTAAAGTAGTAACTAATCAAAGTTAATGTTTTATAAATCATTTACCGATGTTTCATAGATTAGTTACAAGGGATTAATAAGAAGTTGCCAGATGGTCAAAAATCCCATTGACTGATTGGATTCATCTTCATATCTAGCATAGCATGAAGAGAACATAAGTATGTATTAGGGCTGTCCGAGACTAAGAATTTACATAGTTGAATCAGAATTGTTGAGTCTTGCCTGTAGTCTGATTGTCGAATCGTGTGTGTGTGTGTGTGTGTGTGTGTGTGTGTAAAGCTGCAGAGCTGCAGTGTCTGTTTATCAGTCACTGTAACTTACACTGCACATTTACAGCTTAACTGAGGCTTATTGTTGGCCCTTTTCTCTCTGCTCTGATCACCTGCCATTCACGGTCTTGTGCCGAATTGCGCATGCCCACCGACAATTGCATGCATGATGCGGTTTCTCACAGGTCTATTCCCAGTACTGTGGAAAACAGTAAAATATTCTTGTGTGGTTCATCAATGGTTATAAATGATTATGAACGTACAACCCCGGCACAGCTGGTGCTCTGTCTCTCTTCCTCTTCTATTCTACCACACACACACACACACACACGTCCATAAAAGTACTGACCACCCCGTCTCTTAGGGTTAGGGTTACAACTTTAGATTTTTTACGCACTTTAAAAAACTTAATCTTTCTTTCATAGTTTTAAAACACCATTATATGTAGGTATTTATATCATAATAGGCTGTATATTAACTTATTGGGAGAGGACCGTGTATTCTGTGTAAAATCAGACATTGAGCACCATCATATAGCCAAATGGCATGATCCTCTTTTCATAACGCCTCTGCAAAGATTGGACAGTCGAATCAGGCTCCTTCTATCGATGCATTGAATCTTGGACTGTTCGGGGTCACCCTCTGGTAGGTATATTTAAGGGGGGACCAAAAGAAAAAACTTCTGAAATTAATAAGAGAATCTTGTTTTCTCTTCCCCTGCAGGATGATAACCATGGACATAGAGCAGGTGATCTGTCTGGCTTTGGCCCTGCTGCTGGCTATCAAGTACAT